TACACAGCTGCTCAAAATCAACAGCAAAGACCTACCCCTCCTCTAGATCTGGATCAAACAAGAGCAGATCCATCAGGGGAGCGCTGGAAATTACCAGGGATACGGCGAGGAAATCACCAGGCAACATCACCTCACCCTGGTAAGAATCAAAGACTCATCCAAAGATCTCCAAAAAAATTCTGCTTAATACAAAGACTTACCCCACGCCCACCAGACCCCCCTCCCAATCTGTGCAAAAATTACCATCCTTTCACCACTAGAAAACATAATTTTGCCTATTGCAGTGAGTTACCAATCAACTAAGTGCAAAAATTACCAGCCCCCCGTAGTTTTTGTTACCAGCTTCATGCAACAAAACAGAGTACCCAAAAAAATACCCCATTCCCTTGCTACACTAAACACGGATTTTCTGTTCTACCATGTAAAAATAAAGACAAAATAAAGGAGAGAGGAACCTTTATTAACCACAAAAATCATTCTCTCATACAATGGAAGATGCATTGCAAAAAAGGTACATTTTTCAGTCTACAAGAATGTTATACTGCATGAATTAATCAAGTTATCAATCTATACATAGTAAAAGTTATCATCACTTTAGCTAAGTACTAACATTGGATAAAGAAAAGTGCTGCCTTTTAATGGAGATGCTCATGTTGTACTGTAAATTGTCCTGTTTAGTGTTCTTCCCAATCACCCCTGCGATTCTTGCCTTCAAACACAGGCTTTGTCACACACATTCTCAACCACAGGATTAACACCTCTAGAAGCTTCAGATGGGCCCTACGTGTCATAAGGCCCAGTTCCATAAAGTTAAGCCCACGTCGATCTTTACAGTGAGTCTGACTTTCATTATTAGAAAAAAAAATGAAAACTACATCTTTATCCTTTCACCTAAACTGCTCCAGCAGATTTTCCATCTCTAGCGCCGCTCATCCGTCGTGCAATCTTCGCCCATCGTTGGCGCTGGTTTGCATCCCTGCTGTCTCCCAACCTACCAACCGGGGCACAGGATCACCAAGGCCACTTTCATAGATCAGCTTAGTCGCACGGACATCCGAGCTCCCGTTCGCACCGCAAGAGCTAATACAAGGCTCCTGTGGTGGCAAAAACTGAAGACCTTTTGGTTAGAGCAAATGTGAACTCGTAGCTTCGTTAAGAATGAAGACTGCTTGAATGCAAATTGCTCTTTAAAAACTATTTTGTTCAATAATTCTCATGTAAATAACTATTTTACAAAGATAAACCAACTATTTTTAAAATAAAAACATTGCAAAACCAAAGTAAATCATTACTGTCTCATGATTTCTCTCTTACACGCTCGTGAGTTGGAGATGGCCAAGCATCACATCCAGCACTCCAGCGTGTACCCGAGCGATGCCGATGCGGTTCGAAGCTTTTGACCCTCGTTGGCGTTTCATCGAACACGGTGCAAGCGGACATGAGGTCACCACCACCGACGCATGCATCGAGACAGTTGAGGAAGCATGAGTTAAATTATCCTACTCGTGATCTGGAGCTAGCAGCTGCGGTGCATGCATTGAAGATCTGGAGACACTATCTGATTGGTCACAAGAGTGATATCTACACCGATCATAAGAGCTTGAAGTATATATTCACTCAGACATGTTTGAATTTAAGACAACTTCGCGGGCTAGAGTTAATCAAGGATTATGAACCGGAGGTACATTATCATCCAGGTAAGGCGAATGTTGTAGCTGATGCTCTTAGTAGGAAGAAATATGACAACAATCGTAAGTTGAGACCAGAGGCAGAAGAGTTGTATGCGGAGTTGCAACATCTGAATCTTGGTATTGTTGCTAGTGCTATGGAGATAAAAGTGATTCCTACGTTGGAGCAAGAAATACGTAAGGGTTGGCTAGAAGATGAAAAGCTAAAGGAGATAGCTGAGAATGTGGTGATTGGTAAAGCACCTGGCTTCATAATAGATGAGAATGGAACCTTATGTTTTGTGAAAAGGATATGTGTGCCTGAGGTGAAAGCCATTCATGATACAATTTTGCGTGAAGCACATGAGTTGGCCTATTCTATCCATCCTGGAAGTACTAAGATGTATCTAAATCTTAAGGAGAATTACTGCTGGTATGGATTGAAAAGAGATGTGGCTGAGTATGTAGCTATATGTGACACTTGTCAGAGGGTAAAGACTGAGCATCAGAGACCCGCTAGTTTGTTGCAACCAATGAAGATTCCTGAGTGGAAATGGGAAGAAGTCGGAATGGACTTTATAGTGGGATTACCACACACTCAACAAGGTTATGATTCTATATGGGTAATAGTGGATCGTCTCACTAAAGTCGCTCACTTTTTGCCTGTCAAGACTACTTATAGCGGGGCAAGATTGGCAGAGCTATACATGGAAAGAATAGTATGTCAGCATGGAGTTCCTAAGAAGATTGTGTCTGATAGAGGTACGCAGTTCACGTCCATCTTTTGGCAGAAAGTGCATAAATCTTTGGGAACGAAGTTGAATTTCAGTACAACATATCATGCTCAGACTGATGGACAGACAGAAAGGCTCAATCAAATTCTTGAAGATATGTTGAGAGCTTGTGCATTGCAGTATGGTACTAGTTGGGATAAAAGTCTACCGTATGCGGAGTTCTCTTACAACCATTGTTGAGGAAATCGTTAACTGGTAACTGCTCGATTGGCTAGCCAGTTTTCCGTTTCGACAATTTTTGAAAATCACAAAATTCCAAAGGGAAAATAGAGTTTTTGGGCGTTTTGGACGTTTTTAGACGTTTTTAGCGTTTAGTGGTAGGGTTTAGATTTCAGAGTTT